TGAATCGATGTTAGAGCCACTAGAATTTCTTTTCGTAAAATTTTTCGTGTTCCATTTCTTAAGTGAGCTACTGTACACAACGATCACCCGATTAAGATTGGCCATGCCAGTTTCACTGATAATGCGTCGTTCATCTCTTGCTTCCCACGTTTTTTTTCTTGCAAAAATATATACATACTATTCTTCTTGAGTAAGACATCAGCTCTAGGGTTTTCTAGCCTTAACGGCTCGTCGAATAGTATTGCTTTTGTATATTTCGCCTATTAGTAATACACGCGAACCTTTTTTTATCTGCTAAAACTATATCACTCAGCAAATTAAACTTTGCAATTATGTCATCGTTAATAAACGAAAAGAAGAAGCCGTACATCGGAGGAAACACCGGCTAAGAAGACGAAGTTGTCGCGAGAAGCCGAACTAAAAGGAACTTGAACATAAAGAAGAGCCCCTCAAAACAGACGTATTACCGACGGTCAACTCTTCCGAACATGATATAATATTCGATCCGTTTAAGGTATATTGATTTTCTTTATTCGAGGGTTGGGTTTTATTAATACGCGCGTTAATACGACGCTGAAACTAGTATAGCGAAATATCTCTTCTTATCGAGGTCACAAGTTTGCTCTCCGATTTTAATTTGTTGGATCAATCACGTGATTATTAAGAAGGTAATCATGATCTCGCTCAATTTTCGAAACAACCGACCATCATTCAATTACGTAAATTGATTTGAGAAGTTAAGTATGGCTTTTACCTTGTGTTCTTTGCAAACCCAGCGTTTCCCTGGCATGTAAAACCTGAGGGGATTCGTCTGCCTCTGGTGTTGAAAGCGAAACGGATGTATATCGGCTTTCGAATGATGTGTAAGGTTTTGGTTCTTATATCCAACGGTTCCCCGTCCTGTAAAGCCTGAGGAGATTCGTCTGCCTCTGGTATGGAAGGCGAAACGGCTAGCATAGCAAGACTTGCATGGTTGAGTTCTCAATCTTCTATGTATTGACTTTCGTTTAGCAACTTTACATTATCTGGAGAAAGTTTTGGGTTGGGCTAGAGTTGTAGAAAGCAGAAACGTTATTTAAAAACTCTTACTAATTCTTTTTTGATATTATGTCCTTTTAGGATCAATATCATGGTCTATATATTATATACATTAAAACCTATTAGTCGCTATTGAGTTGATTCGCGATATTAACATATTACTGTCATTTTGTTATATCACTTATCTGCAGGCTTATGTCGAAGTGCTAAAAGAAATTTTATCAACCGGTTTTAAGGCTAATAAGTTTTTCAAAAAGACCGAATTTACGTATATTCAAAAGAAACGGGCAGAGGAAGTCCTATTCAACGCGTTAGAGGCCATTGTATCTGAGAATGGCGAACAAGCCGTAACAGCTCAAAAACTGCTCGCCAATTTTAGCGAGGTTGTCAACTCTGCAACTGCACTACGCTTTTGGAATGGTCTCCGCATTCGCGAAGAGAAAGTTAATACTCAAACTGCACAAATTATATTACAAGAAAAAGAAGTCAGTTATCTACATTCTAATAAATAAGTTTAGTGAAGTTATTAT